GATATGCAATGTGAGTTGGAAAAGTGTGCGCAGGAGGGCGAAATCAATAAAGAAGATGTTCCAAAAGTTACCACGATCCAAAATTGGATATCAAAAACTACTAGAGAGCTAAGGTTGCCTGCCGAAACTAAAAAGGAAATTCCGAAAGGTTTCGGCCAATCAAATCAAATGCCGAAAATGCCGAAATTAGGCCGAAACTCGGTCTTAATTTTGGCCAAAATTAAAATTCGGCCGAAATTATGATATTGTATCACGTGACGTTACACAAATTTCCAAAAAAGGAAATTTTATTTCCCAGTAAAATCGGAGAAATCGGTTTCACAAAGGTTACACAAATATCCATAAAAGGAAATTTCCGTGTCGATCATTATTCCGGCCAGAATTATAGTATTAATGTTGGCCAATAATTTCGGCCAAATTTCGGCCTTTCGGTAAAAGTTTTGGCATTGTATAATTTCAACAAATTTACTTTTAATTGCCTAAACTTTCGGTTTTAAAAAAGTTTCGGCCTTGGCCTAAACTACTTGATTTTGGCAAGCAACCTTATAGAGAGCATCGTGAAGAAGCAGCAACTAGAGTTTTGAATTATAATAATCAATAAAATTAGAACTAATAATAGGATATTGCCTCAAAAGTCGTTAATTACCAACGATTGAAAAGTTCATAAAATTGTAAAAAAATGGAATAAAAATAGGTTTATTTAGTGTATATTGTCTTTTGTGTCATAATAATTCATAAAATAAATATTTTATAACTAGCAATTAAGAAAGCTCATAATAGCTTTATTCCAAGAATCTGCTGTCGCCGCAAAGACAAGTCACTTTTTTATTATTACCGGAAAGGAAATAAATAGTGCATTTGAAAGCTGTAGTTTTTCTGTTATAAAATAAGACGCAATAGTTTCATTTAGTTGTACTAAATGCAGTGTTACCCTATCCACGAAAATGCCGATTAAATGAATTTTATTAGATGATCGACAAAATTCACCCCATTTTTAGATAGTAAATTTCACTGATTTATAGCCGGATCTCGAATTAATATTAAAAAATATGTATAATGTTAAAAAACACTAATAAAAATGGGTGTATTTCTATACTAAATTGCAGTATAACAAACTTCGTATTTATATATGTCGCTTATTGGCATTTAACAATATGTTAAACTACATTTTGTATTAAAAAATATGTATAGTGTTAATAAATAGCGATAACAACCAGTGTATTTTTATACTAAATTTTAATGAAACAACATTTTGTATTTGTTTACATTGATTGATAGCATTAAACTACATTGCATATCATATTGAACTATATTATATATCAAACAACATAAAAAAACTTGTAAAATTATACATATATAACAGCATTCAGTGTTAATCATTACAGTATACAGTATTAAACAATAGGATATATTGTATTAAACAACTTCTTAATATTAATTAACACTAAAATTATGTAAAGCAACACTTTTAAAACTTGCTGATGATGTTGTTGTGACCATCCGTCACTTGTGTGTTGTGTTGAGGATGCGTTGTTGTCCTGATTATTCTTGTGGGGATTGCCCAGATTTTGGCATTTTTCCCTCCCTTCTATTCTTATTACGCGTGTAACTTCGTTTATCATCTTATGTAACCTTCGTTGTTTTTTGTTTAGACCGGCTAAAAAAAAAACTTTTTCTCCTCATATATTAAAATAATAATAATATTACTAATTAAATTTCTTTTTTTTTACTAACCTTTTATTATTCCTTTTTTATATTTAAAATAATGATAATATTACTAATTAAATTTCTTTTTTTTTTGTTTATATTTTGCTAATATTATTTTTTTTTACAAATAGTATATTATTTTATACTAGTTTTTTATTTATATTACACTGGTCGAAATAGAACAATTCGACCTAAATTTGACCAGGTCGAATATAGGTCGAATGACGATCTAACCTGTGTCAAATTAAGGTCAAATTTTCGGGCGCATTTAGGGTGCCAATCGTCTCAAATTCGGAAAGGATATTTGGCTAAAATTAGACTCAAATTCGGAAAGGATATTCGGCTAAAATTAGACCTATATTAGGACGTTATTACATATTTGTTCGACCCTAAAAAAAACCATATTCGACTACTATATGTAACCCGAATATTATTGATAAATAGAGTTTTCAAGGACGAATAATAAAGCATAGTATAAGCAAATAAAACCCGTTTATTTTATATTTTATATATATTGACGTATAGTAATATAATTATATAAATCAACCCATGTACATAATAATATATAAACCTCAATAAACCAACCATATTAAGCCAAAAAAAGAAATATAAAATATACTAATAATACCATATAATAAAAAATAAACCCAATAAACCAACCAAAAAAAAGAAATATAAAATATACTAATAATATTCGTCGGCTTCAAAGATTTCATAAATTTCCTCGTCTTCTTTTGCTTCTTTTGTGGCTTTTTCTTTGCC